CCATGTCTGGCACCGCCAGCCGCAAATGGCGACACCGCTGTCGCCGCGTGGGACACGGACGACAGCAAGGCCATGGTCATGCTGCTGTCGTCAGTGCATGACGATCTCACCATGTCTATCGCCAGCTGCGACACCTCGCCCGCTGCCTGGGAGCACTTTGCAAACCGATTCGATCGCGGCACAGGTAACTCGATGACGATCTGAGGATGCACCTCGACGAGTTCCACCGCTGGTGGACTCGCATGGCTAAACGGGTGATAGGCTCCACGCAACCCGTCGCCGCCCGCCATGAGACCTGTGTTTGAGTCAGATGAAGTCAAGGGCTCATCTTCCTAGCCACCCTGCCAGACACCATGGACACGATCATAGACAACCTGTCCACCCGCAATCTCGCTGCTTTTCAGGACATTGAGCCCAAGGTCCTCTCCATCTCCGAGATGCACTCCCTCGCCTCCGCCAGCTCCTCAACCGCATATGGTGGCTTTAGCGGTCACCGTGCCCGCGGCCACCGCGCGCATCGTTCTTGGTGATGTATGCCAAAGCCAAAGGTGTGCCGTATAATCGGCGATGCAGACCAAGAAGCATGAGATGACGCTGATGACGGCCAAAACTTCATGATGTTGCTCCGCCATCTTTTTCTACCCGATGTGCGACTAATGCATTGTGGATATTTCTCGTCCTTTCCACAATGCCACTTGACCATCAGACTAACTACGTCAAATCCTGTCGGCTTAAGGCCACTTAGCTCGAAGCAAGGAGGCTTTCAAGCAAGGCATTGCGGTTGGACTACCATGCAGAGGAAGTTTTATACCTACCACCAAAAAGACCGCCCGTTTGGGGACGCGTTGAGGTGTTAGACAGTAGAGACCCGAGAGCAAGTGTGTGCAAGTGATGTATTGTGTGTCGAGCTAAGGTGCTCAGGAGAAGTGGCTATATAGGGAGAAGCCAACGCTAGGCTAGAAGCGGAGGCTGAACCGTACGGAACAGTTTAAGGCGCTGGAAACACGACACTTTTAAAGTAGTCAACAGCAAAATCGCCACCTTCGCGGATGAGATCCGTAAAGACGGCCTTTTTGCCTAGTTCTCTTACGTGGTTCTTGGCAACCTCAACTACAGCAGATCGCATCGCACGATCGCTCTCAGGAGTAGTCGCATATACTTCGCGAATACATTCTGGAAAGGAGTCGCTTGTCCAGAGCTCTTGTAACTTCTGTCGAAGTTTTGCTGTAGCAAGCACTTTCAAGTTCTCCAAGAAGAACATGTTAGCAAGGGCGTATACACAAGGCTCTTTCAGCAACGCGGGGTCATCTGGTAACCATTAGGAAATCGAGCGCATAGGTTTAGGTTCTACCGCACCTTTGAATCTTGTGATAGATCGTCCGAATAATCCCCAGTGTACAAGTACTCAAACACCCTCCAGTAGGCGGCTCCACTTCCATTGTCAAATGTGAGCTCCCCTGAGCATCCCTCAACAAATGCCGCCTGAAATGCCTTTGCGAAGTATTCGCTTTGTGTGCAGATGACGAATTTGTGGACGGGTAGTTCTTTACCGTGGATAATAACCGTAGCATCAGAGTATTTCGTGTCGTTGAACGTTCTATACAAGTTAGGCGAAGTTACGTAAGTCTAAATCGTGAATAACTACCTAGCGATGTCTCCCATGAACTTGGCCTCACGTGCTGCCATTATTGCGACAAGCGATATGGTAGCCGGGTATGCTTCTGGTACGGCTGCTAGCGGGCTTGGTTGGCGGTCTAGGACTAGCTGTCGTGCAAATCTGTGTATCCTTTCCTCCTCCTGACGCCGGTTCCTGGCCCTATCTCTCTGGGATTGCGCCCGTCGGCGCCTGGCTGCTTCTTCCTCTCGACGATTCCTGGCCTTGTCTCTCTGTGATTGTGCTCTTCGACGTTTGAGTTCGGCTTTGTCTGGCATTCGGAAGATCAGACAGTCCAACAGCCGCGTGCAAGAACGTGGTCGCAATGTAGGGCTGTCAACTGCGGCTGGTCGGCTAATAAACGGGCGGACGAACTTTGGAATAGAGCGATGTACTGGTGGCTTTGCAGCCTCAACAATTGTGTCGTAGGCAAGGTTAATGCGCGTTGGTCCTTTGCAGCCGCTGCAGGATGGCTGGATACGTGGCGCTGTTGCTGAGTCAACCAAAGCGCCGAGGTCTTTGCGCGAGAGCGACGACTAATTCACGACCAACATCACAATGCAGCACAGCACACGGCCATATCGACATCGCAAGCAGATGTAGCGCAGCACCAGCGCGCCACGCCGCCCCCAAGTTTAACTGACCAGCCTTTAACGCCTCCGCTGGCCGACAAGAAGTCATTTGCCGGAGCGCTTCGCGTTATTGCACTTTGTAGAGAAATCCAAGAATGAAGAAATATCACGAGGGACACGCAGATAGAGTTCGAGCTTGCAGAAGGAGAGTACAGCCACATAGAGAGGACGCTCCAGCAAGACGATGTGCTTTCAGGATACGTGCAAGACAAGATACGGTTCGTGGACCTTAGACACCACGAAGACCACAGCTGACGGTAGTCATTGGCAGGTATGACTACGACGAAGATCGGTGCGGACTAGCCGTTCGCATGCCTACCGAGACACACGAACGCTCCATCGACGCACTAGAGGATGACATTCGGAGCCAGCTGAAAAAGATACGGAACGGATCAGGGAAGAAGGCTGAATTCGCGCAGAACGTGCATCCAGCCCGACGCCAGCGCTTTGTCTAGCAAATCGAAGTACGAGCCTGACGTGTCATTCAGGCAGGAGGATGCACAATATCCGGGCGTCATTATCGAAGTCGCATACTCGCAGAAGAAGACGCGCTTCGGTCGGTTGGCCGAGAGCTATCTTTTAGATTCGGATGCCAACGTACGGGTGGTCGTCGGTCTAGACATTGCGTACAGCAAGGAGTCGCGCAAAGCAACGTTGTCGTCATGGCGGCCCCAATTATTCGATGCTCCTGACGGGCCTGAATTACGAGCTGTGGATGTGGTCATGGATGAGGTAGATTCAATTCTTATAACCCTGACTCGTTCTCAATGTTCTGACGTTCCTCCCAGGCTTTCCGCGACGATGAAGGAAACCCCGTCCATCATCCTGGCATACAGCTCCGCCTCAGCGACTCACCTCTGGAATACAGCTCTGCCGATATGTTGATGCTGCGGAGAGCAAAGTACGGCGAGCACTGCGCACGGAATCTTTGGGTAATAATGTCAAGAAGCGGAAACGGTCGGAAATACCTCCTGAGGAGATCCAGTCAAGCGATGAAGCTAAGTACGCTAAGCAAGAGGAGAGAGCAGCGAAGCGCGCAGATCATGACCATTGATTACGAGGAAAAATCGTTAACCAAGAGCCTCTCAGGCTAGAATAACTACTAGATTTTCCGTCAAACAAACGCCTTCGCGATTCTCTTGTCGTGTTATAACGCGCCATTCTGCTGCACAAACCGAAGGCTTATCCCAACCGTATCAGCAAGACCGCGGCTATGCTCCCACACGTGCTCGTCTGGATCATCTCGGGGACGGAAATCTGGGGCCGTCCGAGGCGGTAGATGAGGATCGGTCGTATACCGCCACTCTTGCTCGATTGTACGGCGCGCGGCTGGTGTCGTTGCTGTCCTGTGTGAATCTTCCTCCTGCAGATGGAGGAGAAAGCTGCTTCGAAGGAGCCAGGATAAGCCCATACGTGTCCGGGAAGGAGGTCGGCATGGGCATTGTCTATTTTAAGATGGCTTCTAGCCACAGGCTAGGCTTGAGTGGTGTGGCTTAGATTACAAGTAAAGTATTACGTGAGACGTGCTAATGGTGTTTTGGTACGGCAAGACTCGCTCGCTTAACGAGAAGGTACCGACAGGGGTAGCGACGTTGCATGAATCATCCTCGTATCGCCGCCACAGGGCTGAGGTTGGCTTACGAGCGTGGCAGTAAGGCTGAAGAGGTTGATATTACAAATACTATAACTGCTAGAAGTAATGCAAGCTGAGTAGTAGAGCTGGAGGAGAGGTGTTCTGCCGTGCTATGGGACAAGGCCCTCCTCAAATCAGGCGCGGAGGCGACAACATCGGTAATTTTCCAGTAGCGACCGTTAAGAGGCTAAGGAAGACCCCTCGCATTTCACTCACGTACTGTCATACAGGTACAGAGACGTAGAAAGGGTTTCTCCTGCTTACTAGTCTAAGTACCTATGATTTTTCTCGTAACGGAGTGGTTCTCGCTACGTAGTGGGGGATATTAGGTACCTCTCGACTTTAAAGACGAGAAAAATTCCGAATCTTTCCTGAAATCTCTTCCGGTCCTAGTAAGCCTTAAAATATACCTATTTGTAAAGACCTTGAGCCTTGCGGCGCTGAAAATTACGTTCGCATCGTCGCTACCGGCTTCATTTGCTCACGGCCTGTTTTCTATGCTATGCTCTAATAGCACGGAATCACTACACTGCTGCTGGTAGCTGCTTTTTGCTATTTAAATTTACATAACCTTTTGGAATGAGCGCCTAGGTCTATATTGATATCTAGAAGTTTTGATGAGCTTTATCGCGGCTATTCTACGCGATGTTATGCGCTGTCGCTACCCATATCGGTACTTCCGGACAAAGCGAACAAGGATATGATAGCCGAAATATCGTTTTGTTTCTTACCTAATAAAGCGCCAAGGAGAGTGTGGCTGCAGACATGTGGCTTGGGTGCTGCCGACACGTTGTGTCAAACCGAGGACACCGTGTAGTAGCGTATGACACTTGATTCTATCCCAAGAGCCGGCTTGAAGGTCTCCGAATCATGTTTATATTGCATCCAAAAATTAAGGACTATTATGGCACGGATTTAACTTCGGTATTTTTGAAGATTTTATCTGCGTTGGCATGTTTGTGGACGTGTCAAACCAGTCATTCGGTTGCCTTAGTTATCAGTACCTCTCTCTACCCCTTAAAAATAAAAAAGGACGCATTTATGAGATTAGCTGTATTCGTCCGCAAAAAAGACATTGATGCGACACCTCAGGGATTCGAACCCTGGCTCCCCTGTGTTTGTTAGTTGTACATCTTCGATTTTTATTTTGGGTAACCTACGAAGGAACAGGCTTAGCAGGCCTGCGCGATAACCACTCCGCCAAAGTGTCTTGATTTGATATATATGTTGAAAATTTTATAATATATATACTAATGCAAAAATGCAGTCATGGAATGATGACCAAATCGTTTGAGGTGGAGCAGCGATGATGTCAACGAGGCTTGGCGCTCGCCTACCGCACTAGGCAGTCCCGCACCCGATCCTCTTAGCGACGCACGCCACGGATCGTATTCGTCGGTCAATGAAGGCATCAAGACATTAAACTAACGCTAACAAGCAGCGATAGCTCAGTGTCTGGTGTTACCTACGCCTACGATAGGCTTTTCCACTATACTTATCCACGGAACCACATACCATTATTGGCGACAAAAATGAGTTCTCTTGGTTCTCCGATGGCTCAGTGCCTACCAGACCCTTCGGAATCGCTCGAAACGGTGTCGACCTCAGGGAATTTAATCCTCCCACATCCCCGCGACCACTTCCCACAAGAGCAGGGATGGGTTCAGCGGATATGCGAGCTGCTTCCTCACATCCACCAGCTCCACGCCCGGGATTTACGCAGTGAGTCTACCGCAACAGATCGTCGAGGTCACGACGATACTGACTTCTTTATATCAGGTCTACATCCCCGCTTGACCGACCTATCTGAGGCTTTTAAGAGCTTTAAGAGAGAGTAGACACACGCTTGGACAACTTCCGGAACCACACCCGAGTTTGGAAGCTGCCTGACTTCTCTGTCAGGATCTCTGGACGCTCCTTTAGCTCACCACCTCCATCAACCTTCATTTGCAACCTCCACGCCCGGCAAGTACGGATGTGGCAGACAGAGCCAATCCTTGCATAGCGATGGTCATGGCCAATGCTTTTCGAGAGGGTGAAACGCTAATATACGATCATCTACATCGGCGGTCGAAGCGATCGAAAGGTCTGAGGACTTATCTAGAGAACGTACTCCTTGTTCACGAACAATTTACTCGTCGTATCATGGAGTCATCTGCGGCGAAGGTCAAGGTCATTTATGGGAAACCAGTGCAAAAGCGTTTACTCCGAATGATGAAAACGACTACCATCTCTCTTTGGGACCGATTCAAGAGTGTCTTTCTAGTTCTACTCCACGAAGATAATTTTGAGAACCAAGACTCACGATTCATGTTTCGAAAGATCTTACTCTTTGCCGCGCGTCCGCAATGGATGTTGTACCAACGGTCCGGCTCCGCTCTTAACTAGGACCGTACCTTGGAAGCTGCTATTCTTATGACGGACCCGTCTATCAAGTTCAGCCCAATCTACTTCCAAAGTAGAGCCTGGGAGCCTGTGGTATCGGCATCTTACAGAGCAAGACACTTGGGCGACCCCGCACTGAGGGAGATACTATGTTCTTTACAGGAGCCTACGTATGGTCACTTGCAGTCGAAGAATACCCAGGGAAGCTCGAAACTCAACGCGAAACCGAATTCTTGGAGTACATTTTTTGACTGCAAACCAAGTAGCAACGAATCGACCCGCACGCTTCTTCCTGCCGCAATCGATACCATCCAGGCTGAGACAAATGAAGAATGGAGGTATCCATCTGAATTACCTCACTTGAGACCCTTGTCGCGTCCATCCGGGAAAGTCCGAAAATGCTATCACGTGATGTCTCTCTCTGAGTTTTTATGCGCTGTCCGCCTCTCTCCCCTTCGTCATCACCATCTTCAATTTTCTTGACGACATGCTACGTATGAGTCATTCTTTACCTCGCGCCTGCTCCCGTTTTCTCAGGACCATGGCTTCTTCAGCCGCACCCCCACTTCGCGATGACCTCGTTCTTATAGCTTTTCTTAGCATTGGTAGAGAAAACGGGAAGGTTAGTTGTGTTTATTGTTGTCATTTGCATAGGACCAACTTTTAGCACAAGTGTGTGTAGTTCTTCCCCTTGTAGCTTCTAGCTATCACTTCTACAATACACACTCTTTACTTTACTAGTTGTATTGCAATGTCTAACTTAACGCAATCATCATCTATTAATCTAACATACAATAAACCATCACTCTCGCTTGTTCCAAACGGGCCTCGCTAGTACATATGAAACCTATCAAAGAAGGTATTAGAAGAGGAGATGAAGCCGTTAAATCCGCTATTTCATTCGGCAGAGTAAGCAATCAGAAAATACATGAGATGAAAAGCATTGAAGAACGTATTAAACTGTGACAGAACTTAGCTTCCAAAGTAACCGTCGGCGTTGCCCGAAGGTTTCCTGCGTACTGGTCCCTCGCGCCACGAAGAGGCGTCTGTCGTGCTGGGGGTTTTTTTTTTTTTTTTTTACCATTCTCTTATAGTTTGGCACCGCCAAAAGAGAAGCACAGTGTTCGTTCCTCGGTGTACAGTATCCGCGAAAGGCCATGGAGAAGAGTGCAGTCGCCGTAGGAAGAAAGGATCAATCATGGTTCCATTCGGTGGGTCCCCCAAGAGTGCGCCCGGTACCGTGATTTGTCATCTGGCGATCGCCCTCGGCTAACGATCGGTTCCAGCACTTATCACTAAAAGTTCAACTCAACACCAAACCATCAATATGAGCCCAATTGACGACGCACTGGCCTCATTAGAATCGCTAAAACCAGGAGAATCAATTAATTACGCTCAGGTAGCTAAAAAGTATGGCTGTGATCGCAACACGTTGTCGCGGAGGCATCGCGGGGTACAAGGTACGATGGCTAAGAAGATTAAAAACTTACAACTTCTAAACAAAACCTAAGAGAAGGAGCTTCTAAAATACATTAACGGGCTTTATACGCAAGGGCTACCACCTTCAAGACAGATGATACGCAATTTTGCCTCTGAAATAGGTGGTAGGTAGGTAGGCAGGTTGTGGGTTAATCAGTTTATTAAGCGCTTTAACGTTAATCTTATATCTTGATAGACCTCTAGTATAGATACTAATAAGAAAAGAGCTAATTCAGCCTTTAAATACTCTCTCTATTTTAAGCTTTTGCGACGCAAAATTAAGCAATATAACGTTAATCCACGGCATACGTATAATATAGATAAGAAGGGCTTTTTAATTAGTATACTATTAAGAATAAAGCGGATCTTTACTAAATAATAATATAAAGAGGGGGGCATTAAGTAGATTATATAGGATAGTAATCGCGAGTAGATTACTATAATTACCTATATCTGCGCTAATAGATTGTCTCTTACGCCTGCACTAATTTATTAGGCTCTTACTAGCAACATACAAGACACCTAGCTATAGGACTTTAATCTTACTGTATATAAGGCCTTTTTTACCTCATCTCCTAGTAGGTAGACTAATAATAGCTTAGGCCTAAGATAGCTCAAGCAGGTGTTTAATTATAAGATAAGAGCAAAGGCCTATTAATCCTATTAACTATTACTCCTTAATGGCCATAGATTGCATGTAACTATAGAGTTTATTAACTACTATAATAAGAATAAGATCCTCTTAGCTCTATACCTGCCTTACTTAACCCATACGCTTTAGCCTCTAGATGTATGCCTGTTTAAACCGCTTTTAACAGCTTACTTAGCTGCCCTAGCTAATCATATAGATAAATGCTAGGGCCTCTTAGGGATTATAAAAAGAGACTTCTTCCGCCTGTTCAACTAAGCCTAGGGGGCCTCTTTTAAGTAGGAAACTATACTCTCTACCTTTAAAAAGTGTAGGCTTCATCTATTTAATTTATAGAGAGTATTAGCTTAATTTAGCTATAAAGAGGAGGACTACCAATCCTCTAGTAACTTATTAGGCTTAGTACTTAGCGCAAGTAATTAGAGGAAGATTAAGAGGCTCTTACGTAAGGTTATTACTAATATCTATAATAAAGGCTCTTAGTAACTTAGCTAGACTATCTACTCTATCTCTATACGCAATGTGCTCCTAGAGGATAAGAACAACTAGCTTAAAGAGGCTCTAATTAATAAGAAGAGGAAGTAATAGCGTAGTAAGGCTCTCCTACTAGAACTAACACTAGAGTATAATAGAGGGGCCTAGTTCTAGTCACTATAAAAGGTTTAAGAAGCCTAAGAGCGTTAAGCTTAAAAGGACGTTAAGGTAGAGGTACTATAACACTAAAAGATAGAGGACTAAGTACGTAGGATAAATAAGAAGGCTAAGAAGGCGCGTATGCTAGAGGAAAAGAAGCGTATTAGGGCTACTACAAAGGAGATTTGGCTTCAAGCACAGGCCCAAAAGGCTGCTAAACGAGAGGCTGCAAAAATACGTCAGCAATTAACTTAACACTAAGCAAAGGCTTTTAAAAAGGGTAAGGGTAAGTAGAAGATTGCTACACCAGTAAGCTCTAGTAATAGAGATGAGCCTGATGATAAGGAATTATATGTAGAAGTAGGAGCTCCTACCCCTATAAGGAGCCGTCGCATGAGGAAAATTAACCTCCCCACCAGATTTCGTACGTAGTAAATAGTACTAGGAGACTCTCCAAACTGTATAGACTGTAACACTAAAAAATGGCTTCAATTTACCATTTGTATAGAGCTCTAGAGCCTCAAAAGTTGTGTAGTAGTACGCCCAAAATCGATCGTTAGCCGAGGGCGATCGTCAGCTGACAAATCACGGTAACTTACTAGATCCGTTGACGGCAAGTCCCAAGTGAGTCCACGCAACTTCAGCTGCAAAGCGGAATGACGAACACAACATGCGCTGATGGGAACGCAACCGGCGTCGCCAGGGTCTCTCAGCAGCGGTCAGCCTATGCACGTGAAAGCGCATCCGTGACACATCTGCTTGCGATGCCCATGGCTAATCGTTATGCGTGGTCCACATCAACTGCACTGTTGTATTCATCAAGCCGCAGAGCCGCAACGCGCTAACCCCGCCGCCAAGCATTCTAGCGTTTGTGGTAAGCAAAGCAAGGTGGACGAACCATCGAATGAAACGGATTGACACGGCCGTGGGGCCTTTCTGTACGGCCCATGGACCGCCTAGGCCAGATGTATTCGATTGTTGAAGAGATCTCTATTGTCGTCGTCGTTTGCCGTTGTCCGTTTGGTCAGGTGGGGGGTGACGGGTTCGCATGTGGCGCTCATAGT